TTCTGAAAACCCATATTGTCTCAGAGCTTAACATAAAAATGTTGCTCTTGCCGTCAAAAGAGGCTTCCACTGAACAGCTCTGTGAAAGCAGCTCCCACACCTCATACTCCTGTATAAGGTCAGACCAGAGGCGAGGAATGCTAAGTAACAGAGCTGTGCTTTTGCATGTTCCACAGCAGCATTCATTCTGCCTGCTTCCTTGTGTCCACACTCCTTCCCTTCGTAGGGGCATTACATTTTAACAGCATATGTGGAATAGAAGGAATAAAAAAGGAGATGAGGTCTGACAGAAAACGTAACAGAAAATAAATATATCCAATGCATAGGATGCTGTGTGTCAGATAAAGAAGAGGGAGAGAAGAGGAAAACAAAATCAAATCAGGTTGCAGAGGGAAAAGAAAGGAAGGAACAGTATGGAGGGATGAATGGGAAGAGACTAATCCCACTTCTCAACTCCTTCTCAATCCCCTCCTAAGCTCCTCTAACAAGCTATATCTCCTTTGTTAATTACACAGTAGAACTGAAGCAGCCTGATTTGAAATCTGCAGAAGTTAAAAGTCCTCAGCTTTGAGTGTCTATTCCTAATAGCAAAAGGCCAAATAAAACACTGAAGAAGCTGATTTGACAAGAGACACCAGGACATCAGTATCACAAAAAGAATTAATACTTTGCTACTTTCTCTTCCCAAGCTGTCTCCTCTGCTTCTGGGCTAACGCTCCTCCCTGTGAGAAGCAAATGAATAAGGGAGCTAGCAAGAGCTGTATACATTTTCTATCACCATCACCAGCTCAAAGAAACTAAGTGGGAACTGAGAACAAGGTATGAAGTTCAGGAAACAAAACCCCTTAATACTTTTTCCACCATGCAGGAATTTTTGGTTCAGATGCTTTCATTAATATTCCACTTAGAAGAGAAGCACAGATATCAATGACTGTTACTGCTAGCATTATATGGATGGAATAAAAATAATAGAAGTGTCAATGACAACCTAAAGACAAACCAAAGGTAACATAAAGACTCAGCACAGAAAATATTTCTTTAACCACCACTGTTCTGTACAATTTTTCCTTTCTAGTATGATTTTTTTCAGGGACTGGATTAGCCTCAGGATTGCTCCCATCACTTCGAGTATAAAATAAAAGTCTATTGAGACTTGCATGTAAAAAGTTAATTAAAAGGTCAATAAAATGAACTACAGAGATCAAACAACGTCTATTCCCCAAGTTCATGCCAAGATCCATATACATGTAATGTTTCATACAAACTACGTAAGTTATTTCATGATGTTCTTTTCAATAAAAATGATGATGAAGAATAAAATGTTCCCATTATCCTTTACTAATAGATTTATTCAAAGTAAATCAGAAGTTAAAAAAAGTAAGTTAAACATAAAAGGATTATTCTATTCATTGACATTGCCAGGATAATATCTACAGTTCAGTCAGATTGGCTACTATGCCAATAGTAAAAGCAGTATTTTCCTTTAAGCCCCTGCTCTGAAAAGTATGTCAATTTAAGGGATCATTTGTGCCTATTAAAGCCCAGCAAAAAGACAGTGGGACTTCAAAGTTAGCAGGATGCTTTAGATTCAAACACGGGTTGGATGCTCTCCTGATTGGGGCTGCTTTCCTTAAGTGGGATTACATGCCCTGGTTTTGCAGATATTCAGGCACATGCATAGCTTTTTGCTCTCTAAGTCCATTGTGAAAATCAAGGTGTACTCACCATGAATACCTTCTTCTGTGCGGCTATGTCATATCATGTTTTATAATGTAATGATAATGTAATAATATAATGTTTTGTAATGTAAGTATGCAAAAATCCATCACAAGTCATACCCTGTCATTTCTAAACACATTTCTAAAACCTGGAACTTAATACTAAGCTCCTAAATGCAGCTACGGCAAAACAGACCACTATTGTAGTGGGTTCCCACTGAATACACTGGCAAACTGCAGTGAGCATGGCTGTGTGCAAGTCTGACATGCAACTTCTATGTAAGAATCCAAAAATGGATACTGAAAGTCATACATTCATCATTTTAGTCTATTTTAAAAAGAATACTGTAACATTTATTCTCAAAAAGCTCATAAAAACAAATACTCCCAACACAGAGATTTATGATACAAAACAATACCAATTTCAGAACAACAGCACTTTGATATAAAAAGGCCGTGAAAGATCATCCAGCATTTTGGTATAAACACACAATCTATTTTGAAATTCCCAGATGTGTGGGCTACCATCCCTTTCTTCGAAGATTTTATCTGATGTGTGCTCATACACACTTTAAAATAGACTGAGGTCTATTAAAGTGCATCAACGTCCTGAAAGAGATGAGGCTGTGATCCGTTCATGCGTATAGACAGTGAGCTATGGACAAATGCCACCATTGTAGTGGCTTTCCATTTAAAAAACCCCCAACCTTATTTCCTTAATTTCCCTCCTCTGCCCTAATTTACCCTAACATTTAAAGACTTCCTAACCATTTACACATTCTTTGCAGTTAATCTCCAGTCTCACATGACTTTTAGCCTTTCCTAGTGTACTACGGAAAACAATGAATTTGCGAGCAGATAAACGATAGAGTAGTGCGCATTTGTAAAGGCATGGGTGCTGATTTGACTGACTGAGTCCTTTTATGAAATCTCGGCTAAATGAACAGAGAGGAGCCATCATGGATTATAATTAAAATTACAGCTCCACTGCACAATCTTAGTCAATCATAATTTCTTCATGTTGCTATTTTAGCTTGCCAAAAAAAACCCCAACCCCGGTAGTTTTCTAGCTCCCCATATGACTTATAATATCCCTAGTCCATTGTCACTTTTTCTTCCCTTGCCAATTCAGGTCAGTACACTGAAAATCCTCAGGACACCCCACAGAGTATAATACTTTACACCTAACAGTGGCACTGACAAATATCAAGGATGGAGAAAGAAATTTTAATTTAGCTGATGGGTTC